TTTCCCTCCCACTGTCCCTCCTCTTCCTCACTCCCTCAGAAAGGAAACCCAAGCTCCTTTAATCCCTGGAATACCACTGGGCACTCCTTTCTGAACCCTGTCCTCATCCAGGTTCATTAAAGAAATAGGGCGAGTAGGAGTTGAACGTGAACACAGGGCCACGCTTAGGAAAACAGAAGGGGTACCTCTCTCATAATCACTGATGGGCCCCTACTGGCCTGGCACCCATCCACCTGTGGCCCCATGTCCATCCCTGCCTCTCTGGGTTCCTGACCTCCGCATTTCTGACCTCATCCTGGGGACTCGACCTTTCGTTGGACTGTGCATCTCACTAACAATTGGACTTCTGGGGTCTCCCTGACCCTAATTCACCAGCTTCTCGGAAGGCAAGACTTCCCCTCCCAGTGCCCACTGGTCTTCACCCCATCTGGCCACAGCACCCTCCAGGTGTCCTCCCTTGCCAGGGGCTCAGCAGACCACCCCCAGGCCACAGGAAGCAGCACCATGGCGATGAGGGTCCCGAGGTGGGGCTCACCTCTTCACAGTGCGCAGGAGGGTAGAGCGGGCTTCGTTGTGGAAAGTAATGACGAAGCTGGTGGCCGGCAGGTCCACAGAGTAGGACACAGACGGGCAACTAAGAAGGGAGCAGAGAGGTCAGAAGGCAGCTGTAGGAGTGTCCTCGGGGCAGAGCTGAGGCTTCTTTGTCCAGCCTGCTGCCCACTGGAATACCCCTGTGGGGCAGAGAAGGCAAGCCTGAAGCCAGGATGTGGGCGCTGCCCCTCCACACCCAGGCTCCACCCTGCTCAGGCCACCGGGAGTCCTCAGAGGGACGCCACAGGTTGGGGGACCTTCCCATGCCAGGGGGGCTCTTCACCAAAGACCTAGAGCACTGGGAGCCCACAGTCCCCAAAGTGTTTAGGAGGGCTCTGGCTGCGTGCAGGCAGCACCGGGCCCAGGACCCAGTCATGGTCCAGCAGACAGAACTCCCTGCCCAACAAAGCAGCCAAGAGACAGAATGGGGTGGGGGGAGGGAAACAGCTTCTCTTTTGTCTCTGACGCCCTGGAGCTTCTTATTTTGCCTCTCTGGGCTCATGACATTTGGTAGGAACTGGAAAGGAGTCGCCCCCATCCTGCTGTCCTGTGAATTCCTCCCTCTCACTGCCCAACACTAACAGCCGGTTGGTGACACCAGGCAGGGGAGCAGCCTCTCTGGGACTCCTGGAGGAAGCTGAAACCTCCGAGAAGACACCAAAGGCAGTTCCCACCAGCCCACTCCCTCGCAGCAGCTCTGTGCTTGCCATCTCCAGACACCACATTTTTGGCCCGCTGGCTCCCCTTCCTTGGGAAAGGGAATGAAAACAATCCATTCCCGCCAGCCTCCTTCCCTGCCTTTCTGCGAAGGCGCTCGTTCACACTCCTGGGGCCGGCGGGCAGGCAGCCGCGGCGCTGGTTTTCATGGCATCTTCTTTGTTACAGTTGCTATTCCGGCAGTGACTATTTTTTTCATTATAGCATTCATTCCACTGACAGCAGCTCACAGCTGAATTCCCAGGCCCATTTCCTGCCCTGCAGAGCAGATCGGGTTAGACAGACAGGAGGTCCACCAGCCTGGGACCCCCATGGGAGAAATTCTGAGAGGCTTCAAAATAATAAATACTCTTTGAGAGGGGATGGGAGGGAGTAGCGGGGGCAAGGGAAGTCACCTCTGTCCCTGGAGAAGCTAGGCTTCCTAAGTGCTCACCCTCCCAGAGGCATGCTGACTTGGGGGTACCTAATAAGATGCAGAGTGCTGAGAGAAGCAGCGACCTCTTGGGTGCCCAGCGCCCCAGCATATACCTCTGGGAACCCCAGGTCTCTATCCTTGAACCCCAACCATTTAGTGCCAGGAAAAGGGGAATCTGGATTTCAATGTCCATTCTCTACCTGAGGTGGCCAAGATACCCACACCCCAACTGGAGGGTAGGCTTGACCTCCTCCCACCTACCCCTTCCAACTCTCTCCACCCTGCATTTCTCTGAGATTCATATCAGTGATGATGGGGATTTATCCAGCAGTTCCTAGGAACCAAGGGCCTATGAAGAGGTTCATCTCATGCCTATGTTTCGAATTTGGGGTTGTGAAGCTGGTAGGTCTGTCTTCGCTCCCCTTGAGGGGCGCCCCCTAGACTGAGGGTTGGACCAGGAACTAGCCTGCAGTCCAGTGGACACTGCAGCCTGGAAGGCCAAGGGCAAGAGTGTGGTTCACCCTAGAATATCTGGCTCCACCATGGGAGGTCCTGCCCACCAAAGCCAGAACCTCCCTTGCTCCCCCTTCACACACGCGTGCATGCACGTGCACACATACAGACACACGGACACAAAGACACACACACACTCCTGATCCACCTTGGGTTTCTGAGAAGGCCGGGCAGCAGCACTGGGCCTCCCCAACTCATCACTGCCTTGGAGATGAAGCCTCATTTTAATAAACGTGTAACCGCAAGAGGAACTCCCACTTTAAGCTCCTCAGTGAACACCTGAGGAGGCTGAGTTGGGTGGGTGGGAGGGAGGGCAGAGGTGATCCAGGCCAGACTCTCAGTTCACAGATTTGGGTCAGCAGAACCTCCAGGCCTTGGACCTAGTTTGGCCGTGGTCAGGGCTGCCCACAAAAGCTCTTCAAGTGGAGTTGTATAGATATAACCTGGAAGGCCCCACCGTGCAGGCATGAGGGGAGACTGCCCCATGACTGAAAGGGAAAGAATTCCTGGGGCCTGAACTAGCTGTTAGACCTGGGTGGGAGCCTTCTGAGCAGCAGGATTATTACCCAATTTGGTAGCACGAGTGGTTTCTGGAGGCCGACAGTGCTGTGGTTAAGGATAGTCTGGAGCTCCCCGAACTCCACGTGGCCTTCAGGCACACCTCCATGAGTGACAAGAAAGGTGCTAAAATCAGGCCCCCTTCTGCACTCTGAGCTCACATACACCTTTTGGGCTGTGGAGTAGCTGCTTCAGAAGGAAACACAACCTTGACCCCAGTCATTCTCGCCTACCCTCAAACTAGGACCAGCCTGGCACTGGATACACGGCTGGGTCCAACAGAGCCCATGCAGGGACATGGGTAGGTCAGCTCCAGCAATCCCTTGCTGCCCTGTTAGCTGTCTGCACAGAGTGTAGAGGAGGTCCCCAAAGCACCCTGTGTTGCTAAGGAAACTTCCCTGGAGAGGACACCGAGGAGAGCTGTAAAGGTGGGGAGGAGCGGGGGACACGGTTCAGGCAGAGGGAACAGCATGTGGGAAGATGAGGAGCGAGACAGGAAAAGTTCAGGATTGGGGGAGCGTTCAACACCAGGCGAAAAGGAGCAGAGGTCCGAGGGGAGAGGGGGTGCCCCTCACTCTTCAGACGAAGGAGCTCAGACTGTTCTTGTAGGTCAGGGCAGGAAGAGATGAGACGAGGTGGTGGCTTATATAATCCAGACAGGACACAACAAGGGCCTGAACCAAGGGGGGTTGGTGACCTGCCCAAGGTCAGTCACTCACAATGAGAATTGTAGGAGCTGGAATTAGCGTGGAAGGTGTCCTTGATCCTTGATTTATAGCCTCCCATACCTATCACCCTGGGAGAACTAAGAGCAAGGCCGGGAAGACTTCCTGGGAGTTTCGAGGAAGAGGTAGCAACGGGGCAGGAAGAAAGGAAGGAAAGAGGTGGCAATGGGCAGTGCACACAGCACTGTGCTGTTTCCACAGTGTAGGCAGAGCGGGTGGTCCCTCTTCACCTCAGGCTCCACAGCAGGGCATCTGGAACACCTGGCTTGCCTAGCCCCTTGGACCTCCTGTGGTCCCCTGGCAGGTCACTCTCACTGGGACTTCAGACTGAGGTGCTGAGGGGCCTCCCAGCTGGGAAGGTCTCCTTGGCCTTCTCAGGCCCTTGGCAGGGCAATGAAGTAAAGAGGCGTCAGGAAAACAGCTGAGGATGAGGACTTGAATGTCCCAATAACTAGATGGAGACTAAGGAAATCTTCCTCGTTTCTTAAATCCTGAAAGGAAACAGGCTACCTGGGGTTGGCCCTTTCTTTCTCCATCAGCACAAAAGAGGCCACACCTGTAATGGCGGGTGTCCCGGATGGGCCGGTCAGAGCTCAGTTTGTCACTCTCCAGCTGGTTGAAGGCGTGCTGTCTGTAGGGGTCCTCTCCCGCCTTCAGCTGCTTGGCCGCCAGGTACGCCTTCTCATCAAAGCCCCTCGAGGGTGTTCCTGTCACCTGAGACAAAGGTCAGCATCAGTGGGGCCACAGGCAAGAGGATAAAGTAGCCACTAATTAGTAAGCACAGGTGGGAGCCACTTGCAAGACCTCATTTGTACCTGACCCCAACTCCATGAGCAAGAAGTCATTACCGCCCCTGCTGTACAGATGAGGAAACTGAGGCTCGAGAAGTTAAGAACAGTAGCTGTGTGTGAGGAGGGGGAAGGGGTATGTGAGGACTCTCCATACTTTCTGCTCAAAAAACTGCTCTAAAATATATAAAGTCTATTTTTCAAAAAGCTCAAGGGGAGACTTAGTAAGTCACAGGTTCTGGATTCAAACTCATCGTTTAAACTTTGAAACGCACACTCTTAATCGTTGTTCTGTGCTGGATATAGAGAGGACAACTCTGGAGCGTATCAGACCCCCAAAATGAGGTATCCTGAGGGGATCACCAACAAGGCTGGAGGTTGCCAATCAACCAGCAGATCAACAGTCTCCTAGGGGTGAACTTGGGCCTGACGATGGGCTAGGCACGATGAGTTAAACACCAAGGGCTTAGACAAGTTGCTACACAGAGAACTACCTGTGAGGATAAGCAGGCCCTCACAGGCTATTGCCAGGGCTGCTAGAAGTCAAGTGCACAGAAAATGATACCTCTTCTCAGAGACTTGCGTGTGCTGCTGAAATAGCCTCATGTCAGATCTACTTGGTGCTCCCATGCTAAGTGCTGGGGAGTGATGAATAACAGATGCCATGGCCCAGCGTCCCCTCTCTTAGCCACGCCCTGCTCTGTGCTCCCAAAGTCCCCCCATGAAAGACGCTGGGGAAGGACACATCTGAGATGAATGGATAGATGCCGACACCTCAGTATTTGAACCAAACTGCTGGCTGAATGTTCCCCGGAGCGCCTTGAAATATCAATTGAGTGCCTCCTGACTCCATCCTGACCAGCAGCCTGGGTGGGAGCCATGGGCACACAGAAGCAGTAGGAAGGCAGGTGAGAATTGTCCATGCACAGAACCCCTAAAGGAGGACTCTGTCACAGGCCTAGTCCCCAGAGAGATGATACCATCAGGAAGGCAGCTGGGCCTGCAGGAAAGGAAACCAATGTGTTAGGTGATGCCAGGGACATCCACCAACAGCCAAGGGCCTCCATGTCCCCCTGAGAGCCCAGCTCCCAATCTCGCCAGACAGGAATGCAGAAGGCTCCAGGAAGCACTGACTCCCTTAAAGGAGGCCACTCGGTAGTGTTCCCGCTTCCGGTTGCACATCCTGTCCTAGGACCAGTCCCTGATCTCCCTGAGATAAGGACCAGTGAGGGAGATTTCATTGAGTCCACTACTATAGACAGATACTTAGGGTGTCTGTGCTCAGGGTGGTGACAATAGCTGCAGCTGCCACACTGTGACATTCTGAGTTAGTGCCATGCAAAGGACTGGACAGATGTAGCAGAGCCCCCATAGTCTCGAAATCCATTTTAGGAAAGACAGACAGAGGGAAAGAAGGAAGGAGGGAAAGGAGAGAGAGAATGTTCTGACTTGAACCCTGCATTACTAGAAGGACCCAAGCTGTCCAACTTTGAAAGTGAGAATGAGGGAGATCCTTTATGTCCTTCCCATCCGGGAAAAGAATGTGTTAACTCGACCCCTCTTCCTCCCAGATCAGGGTCAGGGAGATGGAAAGCAGTCCCCAGCTGATGGCGGAGGAGCTAAAACAAAAGAAAATCTGCAGAAGCTCCCAAAGGGAGAGTATGCCACGAATTATCCTTCAAGTCCACTGTGGGAATAACGTTTATTTATTTAGAACTTATGGCTACTCTTTGGGCTCAGGAAACCTTTGAGCCCTCATCCCACACTCACCTATCGCCCAATAAACATTGACGGAGGGCCACCCATCTACCAGTCACTGGGGCACCCTTCTGGGAGTTCTAAGAATCACCTGAGCATTCATTCGTTTACAAATGCTTGAATTCACTCATTCATTCATCTACCCATTCATTTGACAAAGCTTCACTGAACACCTCCCATGTGCCAGGAAGTGGAAGGAATGCTTCTGAGACTGTCCCCCCGACCCCAGTCTGCAGCCTTCCTGCACCTCGTTCAAAGCTTCCTCAGGGCCATAGGGAATGTTGCGGAAGGGCATCTGCTCAGGCCAAGGCACATTGGAGAAGTCCCTCTCAGGGCCTCAAAACTGAGCTAGACATCCTTATAGATGCTGTCAGGAAACATCCGCTGCTCCCTCCCACAGGCCCACAGCCTCTGATGGTCCAGCCCTCCTCCAAGGTTAGACCCTTCACCTGCGAAGATGGTGCCATGGAAACACAAGGCCTGCCCCCTCCCAGAGGTCTTAGCTCTGCTTTCACATTGACCCAGCAGTCCCCAGGGTTTGGAGCTGAAAAACTGGTTGGCTTCGAGTCAGCCAAGTGGAGGGGATACTGAGGAAGGGTGGGATGTGACTTCTGTGGGGCTATCGCTTTCTCTCCATCCAGTGCCTTCCTGGCCTCACCCATCACCGCCCAGAGCTCTTCTTCCTTGGAATCTACCCCCAGTTCACACGCCCACCCACAGCTCATTTTCTTCCAGCATTCCAACTCTCCTTTCCCTTCGGCCCTGTTCTTTGATCTGGAGACTTCCAGGCCTTTGAATGTCCCATGGGTACCTCTAACTCAGCACCTCAAAATGAATTCCTCACTGATGCCTAAAGCAGCTGCTTCTCCTTAGTTGCCTGTTGCAGAGATGGGCAGTCCCATCCTCCAGATCCTCCAAACCACAAACCCAAGGGCCATCCCTGATGCTCTCCCCCATGCTCCACAGCCTGATTCAGATCCCCGCCCTGGGTATCCACAGGTGGTATCCTATGGGCATCCCACTAGTTACTGAAAGTCTGTATGTGCAGATACTGTGCAAAAGGCTGCGAAGACAGAAATAAGCAAAAAGCAGTATGGTCTCCAGAGGAGAAATCCAGGAATCTGGCCCCTTTCCTTCTCCATCCCACACAAGGCACAGCCATGGAGGGTCATGAATAACCCCTGCACACCTAACCTTAGAGTACAGGTAGCTGGAGAAGTGGCCATGGAGGCTCACCCCACCCCAACCCCAGCTGGGGCAGGAGTCCGGAGTCAGTGCACACACCACGAACTGGTGACCAGTGAATGACGTTCCCCTTCTCCCCTCTCCTAAAGGGAAAATGTGTTGCTATCTCCTTTTCCCACCACGCTGCTTGCTTAGCATATCAGCATGTGAGGGGTAAATGTGTCCTTTGGCTTTAGGCTGTGGGGCCATGAGGAGCTATATCTGGATCAGCCTGAGAAGTCTGAGATCCTGGGCTTGGAGCCACTTGGAGTCACTGATGGGACCTGCACTGCCCTTTCTGGAGGGGGTGTTCATGGAGCTCTTATATCACATGGCACTGGCAGTTGTGCTTTACTTCTTTCTTTTCCACTAGATGGTGAGCTCCTCATCTTTGAGCTCCAAGCACCTGACACATAGTAGGTATTGAGCGGGCATTTCCTGAATAAAGGAATGAATGAGTGAATGAGTGAATGAATGAATACCTAAATATCGTCTCTGCTCTCAACTTACTTATGATCAATTGAGGAGAAAACAGATAATAAATGGGATCCTCTGACACATCACATGACTTTCAGTGGCTCTTGCCCTCTCTCTCTCTCTCTCTTTCTCCTTGAACTAGTTTGAGTTGAATATTCTTCTCTAATGACTAAAAGTTCAGAGATGTCAGTCCGCAGTTCTTTCAATAAATAAAAAACCATTCTCAAAAAGTAAGAAACAAAATAAACAAAAACCCACAAATGAGCCACAATGACATGGTATGTAGGTGGCAGCCATCCACTCTAAGATATGAGGCTGGTCTCTGGCATCTGGCCCAGTGATTTGAGCCCAGAGCTGGGTAGGGCATTCATTCCCAGCCTTCCCTAGAAGGCAGGGCTGTGGTCAGGCTTTGGGCAGGGGGTTCCACCTAGACCATGGTGTAACAGACCCTTGATTTGCCATGAGCAGGAACAAGGTTGGGGAGGTGGTGAGTGACAGCCTGATGAACCTCCCACAGCCCTCCAGTCTCCTGCAGAGAGTTCTTGGCTGACATTTAGGCAGCCACCTCCTCCCCGGTCTTTGTTGTCCGTTTGAGAAGTGCCAGATCCAGCACTTCCACGTCTAATAAGGTCAATCACATCTGAAATTGTTTAAGCCGAAATAATGACTTTGCTCTATAAAATGAGAAGAATTATTTCTCATCTTGGAGAGTTTTATTTTCAGTCTATCACATCGACCAAACTTTGAAACTTGCCTGACTTGTTCCAGTTTTTTTTTCCCAGCTATATTTGCATATTTCTTTTTGACCGCTAAATTTAGAAAACAAACAGCAAAGGGGAAAGTTTAAAATAAGAAAAGAAAATATTTTCCATGTCATATTCATCAAAAACAATTCAACCCAAATCCCCAAGCCTCGTAAACTTTCTTTTAAAACATACGCTTACCCCTACATTTTAGATTTAAACAACTCCAACTCCTTTTAAATAACTGCTGTCCAATTTCCTTTTACTGCCAGTAAAACAGGTACCTGCTGGGTTTGCCTTTCGCTAAATTTCAATGAAACTGCAAATAAAAAAGCTCTGGTCCTATTTTATGGATGCCTCCTTTTTTTCTGAGTCTGCTTTAAACCCAAAACACCTGGCGAACAAAATGTGATTCCCTACCTCTCCCCTGGGAACGAAATCTCACCTGATGCTATGTCCCAAGTTGAAAGACTGCCATTCATTACGAGAACTGGGAAACTAAGTTCATGATTCACCATCTCTCCGAGCACAAAGTCTCAGGTTCCACCTCTCCCAAATGAAAAGGCGGGTCCCCCAGGGCTTCTTGAGTCGCTGGGTTCTGGGGAAGTAGCCAACCCCACTTGTCCTGCCAGTGCTCCAACTAGCCAATGAAGAGCCAGGAACCTCATGTTGGGTACAGGGGAAACTCTTAGGGTACCAACAGTTCCTGAGGGGCCTGCCCCAG